GAAACAGCTGATTCCATGAATGTATTTTGATTTTTCTACAACTGTCATGAGATAAGCATGTAACAAATGTGTTTCAGCAGATGTTCTAGAATACATTTTAATCAGGAGGGCAATATTAAGGTGAACATGGAACTTCAACAATGTAATCGTCTCTAAAAAAACAAATATTTGATGGAAATCCAAAGTCTGAATCACAGATAATGTGTGGTTCTCCTTCTGCCAAGGGATTCAGAAGGGCATTTGGTATTTATACCGAAGTATTTAATCTTTCGGTAAGGTCTCTTTAGTGGTCCCATTTTCCACTGCAAGGTTAGGGAAGATGAGGCATATTACTAATAATACTCTTTGGATTACATTGAATGTAAAGTGACTTGGTGACTGCTGCTTTGATTATACAGTCCCTGCTTGCTTCTAACTCTGCAGGCAGAAACTGGCTGTTTCTAAATTATCATGACTGTGGTACATATTTATTAAGAATAGATTACACACTGGCTAATTGTATAATATAATAATTCTATAATATATTCCATAAAGTGCATCATGGGAATGACTATATCTGTATATTTTTAAATTATTGGTAGGACACAATCCACTAGGAATATCATTTTGATGTCTTCTACTGAAAATAAACAAAAATCACACTCTGCTTGGATTCTACACAATTTCTGTCCTTTCATGTGGATTAGAAAAGGAGCTGTTCCCTGTGGGTTGTGTTCCAAATAACTTAAATGTAGCAATCCTAAGTCCTGTAAGTGTTCTTAAACTTATAAAAATATATCTCAGGTCATTAATAAAAGTAGACTTTTATTTTATTTAATATATTCAAAATAAATATTTCCATTTTCAAATATAGTCAATTATAGCCACAAGTATCCCAATTCTGGGGGTTCAGTTGCTTTTCTGTAACTAGTTGATATTGCCTTCTTCCCCTTGTTTAAAAAACAACAACACTTTTTTCCTTCAGGCAGATCACATACCTACAACTGGGGAAAGATGACAGAAGGAATTGGCTCATTCTGTACCTGTATCTATGTAGTTTTATACCTCATGGTTTTAGGCCAGCCCTAGAGCAGAAAGTGTGCTATTTTTTCTTAACTTTAATTTTTTATTTCAGATCACATTGCATGTAATATTTTTAAGCCATCAAGCACCTAATTGGACAAATGATTTAGGGAACATGCCTAGAACCCCTGGACAGCATCTGGAGAGCCATAGGAGAGTTTAGACTCCCAGATCCAAGCTCAGAGACTACTCCAGCTGCTGCTTCAGATCAAGAAAATGACCTTGGAGAAGGAGAAAGGGAGTTAGAGGGGAGGAGACTGGAGAAACCAGGATGTGAGCTATCCTGTGGCTGCGCCAGCCTCCTTTGCTCCCTCTTCCATCTAATGAAAAATGAAGGGCAAGAGGATGGGGTGATAAGATCACTTCCGCCCATTTGCACTAGTTGCCTGTAAACCTCTGAGTTTGGGGCTTATGGCCATTGCCATGGGACTCCACCTTCTGTACCTAAAACCAGGGAAAGATGATGCAAGAACAGACTGCTCTTGTTTTCTTGTACCTATTTCCATGTCATGACAAGGAGTTTCCATAATCAGTACTCACAAAACAGAACCAAAGAATGTGTAAAGCTGCACTGGACTGAAATTAGAGGCAGGTGAGGTGACCTAACTGCTGCAATGGAGAGCCAGTACGGCCAATACCATCTGCATAAGCCTGTCAATTCCCTATCCCAAGCATTTACTATTCAGGGGGTTAATTCACATCTGGCATTTCCCGTGAAATTTCTCAGGAGCACAAACGGCCATGAAACTTCAGTGGGGGTGTTTGTGCAGTGGTGCTGTTTCTACAGATGCATACCTCCACTTGGAGGCTGTACCCACAGTAGCCAAAATTTGTGGTCATGGTGTCTCACAAAGGAGCTGCAGCGATTAGGAACTTATGGTGGTTGCATGCTCAGTATTCAAAATGGAAGTACCTGCTTAATGAAACAACAGCTCTAAGTGAACATTTCCTGGCCACAAAATCAGTGGTCCCATTCATATCTGGGGTGCATCGTTGCACATCAGTACCTTTAACAGGAGAGAGCCATGTGCCTAATGTAGGTAGTAAAATGTCTTGTTTTAGGTGCATCTTACTCTCATGTACAAGAAAGGCATAAAAACCACATTTTAAAAATTGGAAATCTTTGGTACTTCCAAGGATGGGTTGGGAAGGTAGGATTGTTTTTCAGAATATTTTACATGGCTCTAATCAATTATCATGAGAAATAGCAAGTGATGGAGGATAATTCTGTGACCAACACAAAATGTAGGTGTGGAGATCATTACTCCTTGTACTTTAAATCTTTTTAAAGGAGTGCTGTTTTCTCTCAGATAGACCACAGGATTAACACTTACAGGACTTATCCTTGTATCTCCTATAAACCATAATGTTCTTAGGTTCACCTCAATACAATGCTGTAGCTGTGGATCAGAGGGAAAAATAAAGTGCCATCTATTGCACCTTACAAACAACTCTTTCAGAGCTTCACCTTACAACCTGGTGTTACGAATTCTAAGCACTCCCTGCCAACTTATCAAGTGTTGAATTAATGATGCTGTGATACACAGATGCTGGTATTGTCCTTGAGACAAAGATTTCACTGGAACAAGGCAACGACTTTCCTTCCCACTTAAGGGCTGTTTCTTCCTGTTTAGGTTTTGAATACCACAAAAGGCATTCAGATTTCAAAGTGAAGTGCTTTCTTGCTTCTTACTGAGTTTTACAGTTCTTGAGGGTTTTTTCCTGTATTGAAAAAGCACAACAACAAAGGGAGGGAGGGAGGGAGGAATTGCACGTGAGGACATAGTTTCTGAGGCTGGCACTGTGAGGACATAGTTTCTGAGGCTGGCACTGTAATAATGTGAAAGAGATGACAACTGCAATGCCTGGGCCCAGCTTTTTTTATGTTCCGAGTCCAAAAGTGCTGACTTTAACACCTGTTCGGAAGAGTTAGGGGCTTGGCATCCACCGGCTTATGCTTTTTTAACCTTTAGATCTGGCCACTGCGATATGCTGCAGATGGTTTAGCCCTGCACAGTGTTTCAAGTGTCAGCTGCTGCAGACTGTGGCTGCAGATTGGTTAGAAAGATAAGGGAAGTGTCAACATGTTCTGTTGGTTTTCCCACAATGGAGCTGTTTGCATGTCAAAACAGCCCACCATTAATCATTTAATCCAGTGAGACTGCAGCTGCCAGAGTTCAGATGACATGAATGACCCATGAAGAGCCTCAACACCCACAGGAGACTATGTTTTACATCCAACCTCTGCTTAAGCTTGTCATGTTATGTCAACCTGGAAAGCATCAGTTTTGCAAGGGTTTACTGTAGCATGCAGATTAATTACTGGGACCCACTGGTCTGAATGTATAAGATCACTTCTGGTCTGCTTGCATTGGCTGCCCCAATATGTTATTGCCCCAAGCACTATTCAAGGTGCTGATTTTAACTAGTAAAGATTTACATGGCTTAGGATCACAATCCTCAGTGGAGTGTCTCTCCCCACTGCTATCTACCCAGACACTAATAATCTAATAAATGAACAAACATTCAGGGCCTTCTTCCAAGGAAACCTGAGGGCAGCAACAAGAGGGAGGGCTTTGTTTGTGGTGGCCTCCCATCTATGGAATGACCTACCCACTGAGGCCTGTCTGGCACCAACCATGTCATCTTTTCTGTGCCAAGTTAGTTCTTAAGGATGCACAGAGATATTCAAGAATTTGAGGGGATTACCATCCCAGGTGTTTTACAGAGCCATTCTTCATGGTATGTTGTTTTAGCTGTTTTTAATTTTGTTTTCAAAAGTTTGTATTTTGGGATGGTTTTATGGTATTATTGTATTGTTTCTATGAACTGCTGTAATTGCCCAGAGAGCTTCAACTATGGGCAGTGTGCACACTCGCACATTAATTAAACGAATAGCGCTAATTCCCAGTAGCTTCCTCCAATTCAAAATGCTGCCTCTCACTTATACAATCTTAAGCAGCTGGAACCCTGCCTCTATCAGGAACCCCCTACTTCTGCAAGAGCTGGACTACCCACTAATTTCTACCAAAAAGGTGGCTCCAACCCTTTGGGGCCAGTTGCCTGCTTCAAGTCTCCAGGCATTAGCACAAAACTGCTTTATCTAGACCTGCGAAGGCTGGCCCAAGAGGTTTTGCTGCAAAGAACAATGCCATGTACAAAAGCCAGGTGGACTGAAAGAGGCATGTTCTGCACTGGTGGTAAGCAGTACCCTCCCTTACACTTGAGGACATCAGGCTGAGGTAGGGAGTGCTGGGCAGGCCATGTGGCATACAAGCTCTCTCCTTCGACCCCGTGCTGCCTTCTCCAAGCATCTACTGCCTGAAGTGGCTGTTTCTCTCTGCTTAATGATGCAGCAAGCCCATGCTTTGCATTCAGAAAGGCCCAGGTTCAGTCTTTGTCTTCTTCACTTGACAAGGCTCACAGCCAGCAGAACTAGGAAAGACACCTTCTTGCCTGAAAGCATGGAAAGGTGTTGCCAAACCTTACAAGCACTTGGATAATATGGGGCAAGCGGTCTGACTCAGTCTACATCGGACAGCTTCCTATGTTCAACTGGCTCAGCTTTCAGTAACTGAACTTATACTTTGTTTTAATAGTAGTAGTAGTTGTAGTAGTAGTGCATCTTGTTTCATGGGTATTTTTATTTGCTGTGCAAACTGCCTAGAGTTGTTAAGGTGTATAAAAAAGTGTGTGTGTGATATAAAACTGCTGGTATCCTAAAGATTCAACATGACATTCCAAGTGTAAGGCCTTGCTTTCTAGACCAGTAAAGAGATTCTCTATATTCAGCATAGTTTGGGCAAAAGAATGGTTTTTCACTTTTGCCTCAAAAAAAAAAAAAAGAAAAGAAAAGAAAAAAGAAAAAAAAGCCTCATTTACCCTAGAAAAGCCTTCTGTGATAAACACTAGGAGAATTTGTTGTTAGTACAACCTACCTTAGATTTTCAAGGGCAAATTTAGTTTCCTTTCGGCTCTTCTCAGTGATTGGATAGAACAGGAGTATGAACAAGCCTGTGGATATGAGGGTGGCTGGGACTGCAGCAATCAAGATTTTCAGCATGGTAGCAACACTTTGGGGCTGTTTGCATACCCCTGACTGGAAACCTGCAAATCTATGAAGAATTCACAGAACTGTTACTGTCGTATTCATCACGTCATGCAGTGAATGCTCCTCCCTCCCCATCTGAAGTGTTGACCCCAGTGCTCTGCTGGCTCCATCTCAAGTCAGCTTCCCCAGAGACCGGGCAACACTTCCCCACTTGCCAGGCCAGATCTGAGCAATGCTGGCATTAAGGACCTGTGAATGAAAGCACTGCATAATGACTGCAGAATGGCTGAAAAAGACATGATGTCTTGATCTCTGTCAATATTGGCTCGTTCTAGCAATTCTGCGCATCAGTCACTATACTTTGCAGGTAAAAATGCTTGACAAGCCTTACTTTCTGGAATTAATCTGTTTCTTCCTGTATATAAACATATTGTAGGATGTAATTCTGTATATTAGATAGAAAAAGTCCTACAATTCTTAGCCTGCTAAGACTACACAAATGTTTATATCCAGTTAGACTTGCTGCAGTGTTTAACTAGAATGCAGGACGTTTAAGTATAATTAATCTGCTAAAAATCATGTTAACTATCTGTATAGTCACTAAAGAAGAAACAGGGGATCTTCACTGGACTTGCTGGCAACACTCAATTTTAAATGGAACAATGTACTATCAAAAAATCACGTGTATATATCCCTGATACTCAAACATTGACTGGGTTTTATGTTTCTTAACTTTTTTGACATCTCTCAGATTACTTGGCAAATTGATTTACAGGTAGTGACCGTATCTTAGCTCTTCTTACATTAAAAAAAAATAAAAATCAACAAGTAATGCAAACATTAGTCACATTTGAGGCAAAACTGCATCAGACAAAGCAAATGTTGCATATGAAATTATTATTCATTTAATTTCTATACTGCCCCAAACAACAACAACTTAATTTCTATACTGCTCCAAAGCCAAAGTTCTCTGGGCAGTTTGCAACAGTGTATAAAACAATACAATACAATACAATACAAATACCATAAAACCAACATTAACATTTATTTAAAATATCTAAAAAATACAATTTAAAAAACCCTGCAAAGGAAAAGAATCCCCTCAGGCCACTGGATAACTAAGGAAATCTTTAAAGGCCTCCACATGAAGGGCTGTCCTGACCTGGCATGAAAAAGATGTTAAGGGAAGAAGCAAGGAAGTTGTTCAAAAGATGAAAGGCCTTTGTTTAACTGAATGGTTCTCCAGGAGGTTTGGATCAGCATTAGAATGGATTTCAGGTTTCAGCTAGTACAGGTAATTTAAAACTTACTCTTTGCTGCAGCAATATATAACAATAAAATCTGTGTAACATTAAAATCTGCAGAGCAAAGCTTGACTTATTGACCTTCAATCTGCTTAACAATAGCCTGGCCTACAAACTTCAAATCAGTTCTCTCAACAGATTTTAATTGTGTTTACTGGGGGTTTTAGCTCAAGCTTTTGGCTTTCAAAATAACCTGTAGTTAACCTCTTTTCATGCCTTTTGCTTAGGGCCCTTTGTCTAGGGCAGGGGTCAGCAACCTGCAGCTCCGGAGCCGCATGTGGCTCTTTCATCCCTCTGCTGCGGCTCCCTGTTGCTCAAAATATGCGTCACAACTGCCAATGTGTGATGCCCACCGGCATGCGATTTATTGAGCTTTTCGACCCCCAGTAGGCCAACCATGGATAAATCCAAGAAAGAAAAGTTTCAGAAGAAAACAGAACGTTTAATGGTACGTGGGAAGATTCATTTGCTTTCACTGCTGACGAGACTGGTTTACCAGTAAGCTTAATATGTGGTGAGAAATTGGCAAACAACAAAAAGTCAAAGGTTGCAAGACATTTCCAGAATGAACACACAGCCTTTGCTGACAAATACCTGGATGGAGATGAGAGAAAAAAAGCCTTTTCTGAACTGATGCGGAAGGTTGATCTGAGCAAAAATCATTTCAAGAAGTGGATTAAGTCTGCAAATTCAACTGCATATGCTAGTTTTGTGGCCATTCAGGAAATAGTCAGGCACAGGAAGCCGTTCACAGATGGAAATTATATAAAAGAATCATTCATTGATTTCATAAATGCAACACACTATAGTTTTTTTATACGTAGCATAAAGGTAAAAAACGATATATGCAGTGTTATCTTCATTTTAGATGTCAAAAGGGTTTTGTGGCTCCCGGTGTTTTCTTTTCTGTGGGAAACGGGTCCAAATGGCACTTTGAGTGTTTAAGGTTGCCGACCCCTGGTCTAGCGTATAAAAGTAGTATCCCACATAACTATACTTAAGCAAGCTATTCTTACTATTCTTTGGGACATTTTGTTTTCCAGGCATGATTTAGTTTAGAGAAAGACAACTATGAAAGGTAGTAGGCCAAAATTTGGAGGGATTTTTTACTTCTATGATTTTGACAATATCCTATAAGGACTGGATTGTAGGCCTACTTCTATGTAAATTACACAACATTATCTGAAGCTGTGGTCATCCAGGCACTTCACAATGAAGGTTGATAAGAAACTGAAATCTCTTACAGCCTTGTGCACTATTTTCTAGCTGCACATATTTACCAAGGAGTGGAGAGTGTCAAATATGAGCTGAGTAACATTCTTCCACAAGCACACAGAATTAGCTTTAACCTGTTTGTGAAAAACAGTTTGGAAAAATGTCCCAGTAAGACTGTAGCATATTGTCTTGAACAGCAGAAGTATCATAATGTTCTTTCAGCTATTAAATATGAGAATGATAGGCTACATACCTCTCCCACAGGTATAAATTAGAATTTTAAAAGTTTTATTCTGATTTGTATCGTTTGGGTAGCAAAACATCAGGGCAAGAAATAGAAGCATACCTCCCCTCATGTTAAAGTTCTATGCACAAATTCCTTACAACAGGAATTCCTGCTCTGAATGTGGAGGAAATTAAGAAAGCATTGACTAATATGAATAAAGGGAAATCACCAGGTTCAAATGAAATTCCAACTGAGTGGCATAAAACATTTTTTACTCTTAGCTCTAAAACTGCATTGCCTTTACAATTATATTTTTGAAACACTCTCCCTTTCTTTTGCATTCATTGAGGCTCATATTACAGAGGTTCCTCTAAACCTAGGAAGGATTACACTTAGTTAATTACTGTAGGTATTAAAATATTAATTGTATTTTTTCTCAACATGTTATTGCAACATTGGTTCAACCAACCAGTGGGATGTCTTAGACATAGACAGGAGGCTGATAATTTTAGATTGGTTCTTTATTGAATTGTTTTACACTCACGTAGAACAGACCAGACTGCTACTGTTTCTTTGGGTACTAAAAGGGCCTTTCACAAAATCCATAGGAAATTATTTTTTGCTACTTTGTGTAATGTTGGCTTCACTCATGAATTTTTGTAATGGATTAAAATTATATATTCAAATTATAGGACTAGAATTATAACTAACAGTACTTTTGTCACTTTCTTTACACTTGAGTGAAGTAGCAGAGATGTCCACTTTTCCCACTGGAATGTGTTTTATGTTCAGAACTCCAGGCATGGCATATTAGACATGTATAGTAGCATTCTTGGCTGTGTACACAGCTATTTAGAATTTAAGATTATTCTTTATGAAGATGATTGCTTACTGTTTACTTCACAGCTGTAGGCATCTATCCCAGTTTTGATGCAGTTGATTAATACTTATGGTGAATTTTCTTGCTATTCAATTAATTGATCAAAGTTTGAACTGATGCCAGTTCGAGATATTATATCACATAGTATATTAGCTAATTGGCAAATTCAGTGGTGCTGGGATTTCATTACTTGCTTGGGAATACTTAACCCCAAAGCCTATCTCTAATGATTACATTAAACATGAACAAATTGACTGAGATCTCACAGGATATAGACAGATGGGCTTTGCATAAGTTGAATGGGGCAAGGTTAACAGACTTAAAAGGAAGAATATTATACTCAAGATTTTCTGTTATATGTGGAATTCCTATATTTATATATGGAAAATATTTTCAAATTGTAATTCTCTGTTTCACCTATTTTTCTGGGGTTCCTTTCTACTACAAATATCTTTGAAAAAAAATGTAATTTTCTATTAAGGAAGGTGGTTTGGCTTTCCAGATTTCATGTTATATCCTCCGGCCTATTTTCTGACCTATACTAAATCTTGGTCATTCCTACTTAGCTCATATTTCTTCACCTTTGTCAGTTCTGAAATCATTTTGTCTGATCTTTTCACATGAATGGTATTAGGCTCTTGACATATAAAAAGCATAAGGGTCCTTCTATAGGTCTGGGTGCCAGGGTTGTGCGGCAGGTAATATCATACCAATTACATTTTTGTCCATTTCCACATGCTAAATGACCTTACGGTGAAATTTCTTTGTGGCAGACTTGGATGGGTAAGTTGATTTTTACTTTGGATAAGGTGGGGGGTGTGATGATGTCCTTTTATCATTTCAGATGTGTGTGCCAAATATGATTTGCCTGCTACAGCTGAATGCCAATACTTGCAACTGCAGCATTTGTTAGAGTCTAGGGCTGGTCCTACAACTTTTAAAGCTTCACACTACTGGAAACACTTACTGAGGTGATCAGTTATATCAATCTGCATTCATATATATTTATTATCAGTAAATATGATACACAGTTTTTCTTTTATCCACTTTTAATTATTTTGTTTTGGTGAAACTTATAATAAAAACTAACAACTTTCCCCACAGCCCCCCTCAAGAAAAAGTAATCATACACAACAACCATTGGGCCAGATGGGGAAACGCCTCCATTTCAACAGACACGTTCAATCACTTGGGGGCCCAAATAGAGCAGTTCACAAATTTTGGAGAACTGTGGTAGCCAAACAGAAGCCTAGGTCTCTCCCTCCCTTGAGGAACTGAGTCTTATCACTAACCTCATGGCTCATGCTACATCCCAGATAAACTCTTGAGATTAATATCCATCTTCCCTTTCATCATCTCTAAGCCTGGAGGTGGTGAGTGATAGGAAATTGATCTGATAGCTGTGTTAGGCTTTTAGGCTGATAGCTGTGTTAGTACAAGCTCTTGAGTGGTACACCTGATAAGCACTAAACCCCCTACATTTTGACATTCCAAACCTGACATAACAGGAGAGTGAGCAGAGAAAGAGCAATGCATGTACTTATGCCAGCAGGCAGGCAGATTGGATGGATGACAATTTATTAAAAATACATACATGTGTGTACTAATACAATACTTCCTGCACACTGCACACTAATTCAACTAACAATATAGCAACAACCGGGAATTCTTCCCAAGGTGTGCAGATTCTTGCCCAAACTTACCACTCAGATGATTGGGCAGTTACCCAGGCAGTGTGGTTTCCATGCTCCCTGACCCATCCTTCTGGCCTTGTCATGCATGCTGGCAGCATTCCTGAGCAAAATCCTCAGCCTCTTCTTATTCTTACCAATGAATTACAGGCTTCTCCTCCTGAGTGGTCCACTGTGGTGCTGAGGCAGCTTCTACCTTTCCCCCTCCTGAGTGCACCTGCATGTCTGTGGCTCTCCACAGCCACTCCAGTTCCCACAGGGATTTTTATTAAATGAATATATACAGTTCTGCTGCAATTCCTCCCTTCTTCCTCTGTGTATTTTTGTGCTGTCTTCCTGTTTCTAAAGGTAAACACGGAGATGGACTCAACCAAAGGGAAGTGCGTAATGACACATCTGCGGCTAGGGAGCTGAGGGCAGTAGAAATCGAAGGCTAGAAGCCTTCACTTCCCCAACTGTTTTTTCCACAGGACACTATGGTATTTTCATATCATCAATGGTAATACGGCAATCCTGGGTCCAGATGACCAGAGAAGCCCCAGAGAAGCATGGAGATCTTAGAACAGACCGTTGATTCTCTGTGGTCTCAAAAAACCTAATCCTACTGTTCAGCAATTCTGGAACTGAGTTTGGATGGCACAACAGACACACAGTGGTAAGATTTCATCATGGCTTCTCAAGTAATTCAAACTAGCCCAAAGTCAGGCAGATACTGTGCTAATATTATACTCATAGGAATGATTATCATCATCATTTATTTAATACTTAAGAACATATGAGGAGCCATGCTGGATCAGACCAAGGGTCCATCCAGTCCAGCACTCAGTACCCAAACAAGCTGCCCACAGGATCCCTCAAGCAGGAAGGGTGCAAGACCTCCAGCTGCCCAAGCTCCTCAGCAACTAGTGTATGCAGGCAGCCCACCTCTGTTAAAGGGCCTGGCACTGTATTTATTTACCACAGTAACGTAAAAATTACATGCACGTCAAATATCAGGAGTAACCCTTTGGCAGCTAGCTCAATCAATTAATGTAAGAAAACACTCACTCTAGACTCAAAGAAGAAATTCCCAATCCAATGCCAGCTGATATCTTATGAAAAAACACATATGAAGAATAAAAGATGGTTTCGTGCCCTGTTGAATGTGGATGCTGCACTCGGAAGTGGTCAACTAAATCAGGCAACATGGACCTTTAGCCAACAACAATAATAAAATACATAGCTTAATTAGAAATTTCCAGGAAATGCTATGGCATTTAATTATTTGCATACATTTTTAAACAAGATCACATTTCATGGAATGCTTAATCTGTACTTTAACACCTACTGAATTTTAACAAAACAAATTAGGTCAAGTTGGTAAGGAATCCAGAAGCAATCAGTTTTCTCCCTCATGTTAGTTGGAAGGGACTAGAATTAGTAGGACTTTGCTATTCAAGTATAAGCACAGGAAGGGAAGATGGGATGGTATTCTTGATTAACATCAAAATCAATGATTTCAGTGGATCCATGACTAAAAGCATCACGTAATGTGACTGAATCAGTTTAATGTATTCCTCAAGGACATATGTGTAACAGCAAAAATGATATAAATTTGTAAAAACTTTCAAGCTATTACTTTTAAAAGAGACCCCCCATACCCCCTGCAACTGATTGCATGCTTTCTTGATGCAGAAAGAAACAGGTGACTTTGAGCAGCAATTCAAGCAGTCAGTCACTTATGTATTTCATGGATCCCAGCTACTTCCCATGCATGACTGGTCCGACTGCTAGGCAGAGCTGCAGCAGATGATGGGAAGGGGAACACTGGAATCAGTGTGTGCCACTTCCACCTCCTATGCAAGCCCACTGTCCTCAGCGGTGGGGAGGATGCTGTCCCATGGCCAGCAAGAAAGATTCAGGCTGGCAGGCTTTTATACACATAACAGAGAGAAGTGCCATCTTGTCCTTTGCCTTAGGCAGTGAACTATCTTGGGCTGGCCCTGTTCCCAAGGCCTCTAATCCACATCTCTAAACCAATATTGCCTCAGCCTCCCTTAAACTCAATCATTCTAATCCTTGCAAAACCCAAATAATAATAAAATACATACCGTTCTGCAAAGCACAAATAGAATGAAAACAGTAGGCAAATTGTATAAAATCAGCATTGGCTGGTATGTTTTTAACATGACATAAAATGGTTTTAAAGCTCTCTCTCCTGCTGTTCTTGACAGCCTATGGATCTTGTTAGAGTTGCCAAATAGAAGGCAGCTGGTCTAAAATAAAAAGCACCTTGCACAATGCAGGCTTTACATTCTCATTTATTTCTCTTAGTGGTTTCAACACCATTAAATAATGTAAAGGTGCATCATTACATTCTTGTGGGTAGAATGTAAATGTCAACATGTACAGTTTTACATTTAATGGCTTGACAGTTACACATTTTTGCTTTCGGGAATGGGAAAGCTGTTATACTATGGTTCAGCTTTTCTGATCAGTTTGCTTTAGCTTTGGGAGGCAACTGATCTTCCACACAAGTGCTCTTTCTTAGACTGAATGGGTAAGCTCACCTGTTATAGATGTGACAGAGACTCTGATGTCCCAAACAACCTGCCATGACAAATATTTCCCTCCAAGGTCGTGAACTGCCCACTTCCATCTGGTACATTTGCACACACCCATCCAAAATTCTCACCATGGCAACAGCATAGAGGCTGCAATGCTCAGGCCAGATACAAAAGCCGTCACGTAGGCAAGGATAAGGTTTGGGATGGTCACCAGCATGATCACAAAAGGAATCATCCACTAGGAGAGAAGGAAATCGAGGACAAAGTATCAATCATATCCAGTGTCAAACATGAGGACAAAATGCCTTTGTAAGGTGGCATATTGTCTGTAGCGAGGTCATACTGCTTTAGAAGATTTCTATTTGCCAAACTGACCGTGGAAAAATGGTCAACTCTGAGAGTGACAGTCTGTCCACAGGAATTTAATACTGACAAGAGGCACAGTAAGTGCTTTGGATTTCCCATGAAATAGCCAAGGCTAAAGAATGTCCTGATTTGTTAATTTTCTAGCGTCTTTCTTAAATGGTGTGGAGGCAACAAGTATAAGGAGGCAACAGAAGGAAGACTGTCTGCCTAGTGGAAACCAACAGAAGGCATGAACTACTAAGCTGATTTAGGGTGCCATCCTATTGTTTGCACCCTCAGTGATTAGAAGCTCTTGAACTCAGAGGCTTCCGATAATCCAGTGAGGGGCAGTGGAGTCTATTGCTACCTCCCTATCTTCCCATCCCTGTCAAAAGCCCAGTTTTAAAAGGAAACCTGACTTCTACAACTGTCAAGACTCCCAGCTCTCATAAATGGGATGACTTGCAGTTTTCCAGGCAGGCACCTAAAGTTTTGGGAAGGGGAGGAAAATGTAGAGGACACTAAGAACAGTCAGGTCTAAAATAAAAAGCAAAAACAACAAACTACAGAATCTCACAGGGAAAGGGGTGCAAACAATAGGATGCCAGCAAAGTTCCCCTTGCAGCTTCGCCCCTCACTTGATACCTTGCCTTCTGATAGCTGTCAAATGAGGAGCAAAGTAAAAAAACCTATTTGTAGCTTTGCTTTGTCCATGTCTAATGAACACCATGCATGTTTGATAGTCAGAGTGGTGTACTTTCACACTTCTATACTACTGACAATTTTAAAAACATTACATGTATCTTGGCTGCAAAAAGAAAAAAAAGAGTCACTCTAACCAAAGTCACTCTAACATGCCATGTTGCCTGTTACTTTGCCAATGGCTTTTCTTGGAAATCACAAAAAATGATGTCTTAAAAATGGTAAAAGGAAAAACAAGCTGCCACAATCACAAAAAGAGGTGCTGTTGGCTCAGGGAACACACTACTTGGGTGCTGGGTGGTGTGGCTGCTGCTGGTCGCAGCTTGGGTGAATTCTGAAAAAGCAGCAAGATTTTACTGGGAGGCTTGACGATCCGCTAATTTTTTCATGGATGTGTTATTTATGTGTGCTGTTAAGTTCAAAATTGCCTGGGAACGTACTGGAATTGCACCTTAAATGTACCTTTAAGAAATACATGCTACCTGCTCTACGATCCAGATAGTCAAGTAACTCAGCAAGTTCCATGTATTTCAGGCACATGTTGAAAACAGGTCCTGGGCATCACCACAAGTTGCTGTGGTGAGGTCAAATGTGCTGAATGCTCCCTCTCTGGATTCTTGCTTTCCTTGCCCCCATGAGAACTTAAGAAGAGCCTATTAATTCCTTAATTTAACAATTAACAAAATTAATAATGTTGATTGTTTAATTATCCCATTGTGCTATTCCTGTTTTGCAGTCTGTAACATGGTGTAGATTTTATTAATGGCCTTTGGCTGACAAATAAATGATGACTGACTATGGTACCAATCTTTCTGTTAAACACAAAAGAAGCAGCAAGAAACAGAACTCAGGATGTGAAACACACAGTGTGCACAGTAGTTGAAACAGTCTGTCCTGTTCAGCATTGGTCATTGTTTCACCACAAGAGAGCACTCCAGCAATGCAAGATTGTAATGTGCCTATACTACTAAGCAGATCAAGCAAAGAGTAATGTTTACCTACCTGCAGGCCAAAGTGCCCAGAAATGTACAAACCAGTATCACCACAAAATAGGATTCATTTCAGTAAACAAGGGATATGACCCAACAGAGCACAGGCTCTGATGAATTTTCTCAGAAACTCTGCTAGCATAAATAGAGATGATAGCAAAGAAACTCATCGCTGCTGTGAGTATTGTGGTACAGATAAAAGATTGCAGACAGTGATTACTTTTAGTCTTCCCATTAATTATAGTATACAATCTGCATTTGTAAAGTGTCTTACTTTCCAACTCAATTCCAAAACTCTAAATATGCACATATTTTATAATTGCCTAATCTGGGCAAGAAATTACATTGTATGCTAAATGACATGTTGGTTAAGGGCTGTGGAGAGAGCTCTTAGAAAGAACTGGAGGCTTTCTGGTTTAAGAAAAATAAAGTCTATCAGGACCATACTACAAACTAGGCTGACTATGCAGGACTGTTCTAATAATTCTTTATATGATATCAACTTAAACACAACAGTTTGTCATTGCCAATAAAAACAGGACTTAAGAAAGGGGTTCCTTAAGCTAGGCATGTGAGGTCACAGACAAGAGTTTAAACTTCTGGTTTAAGGGAAATGCTGGTTAGATTCTGGAAGGCTGCAGGAAGGAGTGTGGTGTCCCAGAGGTATGGGCCAGCCAACCACTGGTTGCACAATCTGCCCCCTACTGGTCCGAGGAGAGTATAACCCATTGTGTGCAGAGGAAACTGAGCAAACCTGAAGTAGAAGGAATGCAAACAGGATTGGATGTCAAGCACAAGCTGGGAGACATGATGCCTAATATTGGCCTAGATGGAATAAGAAGTGGAAAGGCCAGAAAGGGAGGCTCTCACAAATTTCAAAATTCATCTGTGTTTTGCTGATGATATTCAGCACAATCTCACAAATATTTGGTGCAAAAAATGCCAGATTCCATGCTGTGCTTCAATGGTTTACTTACGGATATCCCACATGTGGCAGTCTTTTTGCCAAAGTGCTTCAGAAACTTTTGCCACAATGGAATGCCTAGCACTGCTGAGACCTATAAAGAATGAGAAAGAAAGTGGGACGGGACAATGAAATGTTTTATACAGTTCAACAGGATCAGCAAAGCAGGTTAAAAGTTACTAGAACTGGAAACATGGGAATAGTTCCATACGTCATAAAAAAAGGGAAAGGCACAAGTTGGACCATACTGGATCACACCAAGCAAATCTCATGTGTATTCAATGAAGATGGGTCAAAAGGGTAATCAAATAGTTAGCAAACAGTATTTTTAGAGAAGCAAATCAAAATTAGTGTATTCTCCACCTTATCCAACTTCCTAGGCACATTCCAGATTGCAAAACTGATTATATATCACGGATCAGGATAAAAAATAGCATATTTTCAGAGGCTGTACCCCACCTTTGGAACATGTCCTTCAATGAGGTGTGCCTGGCTCCATTCTTGCTGTCCTTTCTGCACCAGTCAAATACCTTTTTATTCAAGAAATATTTTTAATTGATACCCATTTTAACTGTGTTATTCAGATCTCCTTGGTGCTGAGTTATTGCATATATTGTTGTTGGCATGGCCATTATTATATTGATTTTTTAATGATGTTTTATTTTACATGGTGTGTACTTATTGTAGCCACCTAGAGAGCCCTATGGGCCAATGTGAAGAAATAGAAATGTATGAATATATATATATATATATATATATATATATATATAATGTATAGTATAAGAAGCATATATTTTGCATAAAAGCCTTGTGATGAGGTCATCAAGAATTTCCATCCAGAATTTCCATGATGTATTAAGTCTAGCTTGCTTTTAAAGCAAAACTATCCTTCATAAGTACCGTATTTTTCACTCTGTAAGACGTGCCTGACCATAAGACGCACCTAGTTTTTAGAGGAGGAAAACAAGAAAAAAAAATATTCTGAATCAAATGGGCACATAATCACAGGCACATTCCCCATCACTTCCCCATGGGCTGCACATCTGACAGATTTATTGCACACACATATTTACTCTATAAGACGCACAGACATTTCCCCTTTCTTTTGAGGGGGAAAAAGTGTGTCTTATAGAGCAAAAAACAAGGTACCTGCAAGAAGTACTGATGTATGAATCAAACAGTTTAGAACTTATTGCAAATTTGTCCAGATTAGTATATCACAATCAACAATTCCTAAGTAGTAACGCCAGTTCCATAAACAGAATTCTGTTAATTCCATAATACCAGCTGTTATATCAAGGTGCAAAGAAAATTGCATCTTGAAAAGAATTAATTTTTTATTAGCTATAGTGTGGGAAAACATTTTCCTTCCTTTATGCTCACCATAAACACTGTAGTGTATACTTAAGAGTGCTCATAGTGGAAAACTATGAGAAAACTGAGTATAGTCAGTTTAAGAAACCCCTCAAGGATTTTGCTGGGCTGCATTATTGGCCAATTCCTTTCACAAGCAAAGATCCTTCAAATCTTCATTTTCTCTTGACAGCTGTTGTATGAAAGCAAAGCAAAATCAAACCAAAACAAAACACGATTTGCAGCCTCCCTGGGTCAATGTCCATGGTGGGTGCTTGCTGCACTTTGACAACAGACACCCCCAGGACATTCCTCAGATTATGTTCCCCTTTTCAGACCCCCGCAAGTGAGCACCTGTGCATACTGAGCTAGTTTTTTTTTTTAATGCATAAAATGGGTACACATTTCTAGCACTTAAAAAGGGGGTGGTGACAAACTAGTAACAGCTCCTCCAATGTGCCCAAGGGCTCATGGTTGTCCCATGTGGGGAGAGGAGTCGGGACAAATCTTGCTGGCAAGTTCTCTGGGTTACCTGCAGGAGGACTGAAAGGAAAGGGAAGGGAGGAGCCCAAGGTGAGCTTAAGCATCCATTGGGTGCACCATGTGTTATTTCACAAAAAAATTGATACTGGGCACCCTATTCACAGGGTCAATTATTGTGACACAGGAACATGCCCATGGCCGGGGAAAGAAGCCAGCCCTCATCTTTTATAGTCACAGGCCATTATCCAGTGCTGTCTACATGTTAGCGGGATACACTACAAATGCAGTGGGAAGGTGGCAGATCCTGAAGCAAATGAAAAGAAATGGAAATGCTTGAACAGAGAAGGTCAGCATATCTTCAGAAAGGGAGTTCCAGTTACTTGTTCCCTTCTGAAAAACATTGATTTTGTTCACTTTGGGGGTGGCTTTAAGAAGCACTAGCTTTGCAGTGATCTAGTGGTACATTCCACCAGCACAACAGAGTAAGGGGGCATTTTGAATACTGCCCAGCTTCTACCCATTTCATAAGAATGACCTCACTCGGAGATGGTTTTGAACTTGCTGGGAGATCTCTGAGTGAGCAAGCTGCTGCCGCGCACACGCCCAACGCCACCTCGCATACACCCGACAACGCCTCACCAGCCCGCGCGTGTAGCCACCGCTTTTCAACTGGCCACCTACTAAAAAGGTTTGAGGACCCCTGAGTTAGAGAAATAGTCAACATGGTGAAGAAGATATATTTAATTATGTCCAGTGTGGAGGAACTGTCATTTTAATACCTACAGACAAACTGAGATGCGTAGTTTACCTTTCTGGATTATAAAGCTGTAATCCTGAAACACACAGACCTGGATTGCAAAGAATGAGAAGTGACTGTAGGTGAATTTCCCCAGGGAGCTTCTTGTTGCAGTGACTGCCATTTACATGTTCAGAGTGCAGCAGGAGCATGCTGTAGCCTATTGTTACATGCGAACCCAGAGAAGGTAGGCTGTTGGGGTAGTTAATGAGTTACCCAGAACTGATAGGTCAATTGAGCAATGCAGGAGCCTTGTTAACTACCCCAATAAGCCAGCTGTGATGGGTTGCAGTGGGACTTCCTTCCAAGTTATCATGCATAGGTTCACAGTGCAAACTGCCCTTCTTTAAAAATACATGCAAACAAAACTTCCATGCAGATATGGATACCATATTATGGGGTATTTCCAGATTATGCTTTTTCTGTGTGATTGCACTGCTTCATTCATCAAATTTTAGAGATTCCAAACAATCTGTAAGCCTCTTCAATCTGTAAGCCTCTTGCATTCTTCCCTCAATTTATTCTATCTTTTTATTTACCAGAAATAAGGAAAAAGAGATGGACTAGCTATACAGTGGATTTTGATGGTTAGCACTAGAAGCTTTCTATCTGGACACACCCATGGAAATACTATGATAAGTTCAACATGCTTTGTAAGGAGGCTCCACTTTCTCCTCATGCTTACCAAGATGATCAGCACCAGTGTCTGAAAGTGGTTGCGAAGACCGGCTGCATGAGTACAAAAGAGGACAAAATTGCCTTGTTCTATCTGGTGAGTTGAAGACAGAAGAACAAAAATAGGAATAGATTAGTTACAATTGAAAAGTTGTTACTAATCAAGGTAATTTAATTCAGGATTTCCATTTACAATGCATACATTTACTGAATAAGAGTGCATACTAACTGGTTGCCATAACAATTAAAATATATTGGTTTGCAACTAAATTAAGCCTTTTACTAGCCATGCATGCATTCTGCACTACACAATTATATCTGCTTTTAAAAACAATGCATTAAAAAGAACAGAATTTGTTCATGTGGCATGTACAGGTACATCTAGTGAAAACTAATACAATGGGAACAAACCTATGGGGTATCCAAAATCTAACAAATCTTATTTGACTAATTTGGCTATATATTATGTTAAGCCACTCCATCCGTGATGAAAGATTAACAGATTTAGGGTACAATCCAATGGATATGCCCACAATTCTCAGAATGTGGAGGATTTGGGGCATCCTATGCAGAACAGAAGTGTAGGAGCAGGCTCAGCAATGCACGTCTCTTGCTCAGCACAGATGTCCAATTCGGCAGATGTCCAATTGCGGCATGCCAGGGTGGGAGGGAATGAGGCACCACCATAACATCTTGGTAGCACTGCTCTCCTCACCACCTCACTCCCTGAAATGCCCCCTAAGCATCTTCTCAGAGGTTGTCTGTATCACTTCAGAGAAGCAGCCAGCACAGTTTTGTCTGCACTGGTTGAGGTAGGTGTGTGTGTGTGTGTGTGTGTGCGCGCACTGAGCAGAGATCGCCAGATCCAAGATTGGAGTTCTTTTCTGCACTTGAATTGGGGAATCTAAAAAATCCTGTACTTCCACAGAGGGCATAGGATTGTTCTGCTTATTTGCAGCTGTGACGATTGTTGTTGCTAACAACATGTTGCCATTTATTTATTTATCTTTCAATTTATATCCTGCTTTTTTCCTACAAAGGGCTTAAGGCAGCTTACATCATTCTCCTCCTCCATCCTATCCCCACAACAACAACCCTGTGAGGTAGGTTGGGCTGAGAGTCTGTGATGGGCCCAAAGTCACCCAGTTGGCTCCATGGCTGAGTGGGAACTAGAATCCAGATTATCTGAGTCCCAGTCCCAGGCTCTTAACCACTACACCACACTGGCTCTCATTTACTTGCATCTGCATCTTATTTCATATTATCCAATAATAAAGTTGTATTACCCAATCATATAGTTTCTGGATTTGAAATAATTTTGCATCCTCCAGGGTGCTTTATTTATCTAGATACAACTTTTATCTAGTATTTTCTGATACACAAATAGTCCCACTATAGAAGTTTAACATCTACTTTCTCCATTCCACCTCTCCAACATGTTGAGCTTCTTGTATATCCTCCTCATTTGTTATGTGGAGTCAAGCACCATTGAAATAGAACAGAAGGATTTTCTTTAAAAGGATGCCAGGTGCAGCTGAAATAAAAATAAGCTTCTACTGATCATCAGATAATTGCTTCCTCCATTTTATTAAATTCATTCCCCAGATAGCTTTCTAATTCCAGTGGACCTTATCAAACACAAGTAACATCCATACTCAGAATACAAAAAACAAAATGATTGTTTCCACTTCAGGGGATATACATCACATATATTTTGGTATGGAAATGCTCCCTTCTTGGCATTATTTGGTATCTCTCCAGTTTGTGTTCTTTCCATACTTCTAAAGATCATCAAAGGTCATGAGCCAGGCTGCCTCATTCTAAACCGGACCACTGACTGGCAGCAGATCTCCAACTTTTGAGGCAGGATTCTTTCTCATTCTGCCTAGAGACGTGAGGGATCAAACCAGAGACCTTCTGCTTCTACCATTGCCATTAAGTTGGCTGATGGTCAGCAGGCATAATGGTTTCATGTAAGCCTGACATCTGTGCACAAGCATATCATAAATATACCTCTGCAGATTAGCCACGTTGCCTAGTCTGTAGTGCTGCTCCTAAATCCTAAATTTTACTTGTGACTTGAGGAGATTCTACTCATAATGTAAATTTGGTGAACAAGAGTGAATACAAGCTTAAGGACCACTAGGATGGTATCATACAGGGTACTTGTGTCCTGGCTGATTGCTTTTTATCCTGCCACTTTCATTGTTCAAATGCCCCCTGCTACTTGTACAACAGTTATTTAGCACTTCAGAGCAGCAGCCCAAACAAGCAGAAGCAAGCATTTCTGAAAGGGGACAGGTCAGTGCAGCTTGTGCAAGGGAGGTCTGCTGACATGGCACCTATAGAAACACGTCTTTCTGCTTGTTTCAGGGCTTGCACCCAGAAATGCTAGTTCATCATTGTGCACGAAGGGAGGGCTCAGACAAAGATGGGCATGACTGCATATTGCTTCTGCTCTTATTCCATTACTGGATTTCAGCCACTGTTGCTTAAAAACTTACTTTAAATTACATATCTACCTGAACTGATCCTCTTGCTTCCTCACCTTTTCCCAACTCGCTTCTTAAATAAATCTAAGCTTTTTTGGAATTTTCCCTATTCTAATAGATTGCCCACAGGTTGTTTCCATCACCTACTTTCAGGAAATTTAGGGTTAGTCGGTTGGAATCACAACAGGAGAGTCAGAGAAATTGGTAATAAACTCAAATGAGTTTGAATTCCCAAATCTGACATGTGGGTTCCACAGCAGAGCAACTTTCGCAAGTTGAACAGATTCTGTGGGACCAGCACAATTTTTAAAAATTTTGCATTTTTACCCAAAATTCATCATGGAAAAATACACAAAATAATCAAAGAAGTGCAGACTACATTTTGGGACAATTTGTATTTTTGGCAATTAACAATTCTGTGCTAATATCATGCAAACACATTCACATAAATTTCAAGTGCATCCATGGAGGTATGATAGACTGAAACCAGAAACTTGGAGAATGTATAGAGCAACTTTTTGGTACTGTCTGTATTTATGAGTCACAGTGCACTGTTTCAGGCACTGGCATTTTGCTCATTATCAGTCCCACTGCAGACTGAGATCCCACAATTCCCTCTCCCAACAACGGCCTGGGGGTACAGAAAGTGCATATGACCATCTTTCCATGGTCCTGACAAGACTTGCTCTTTTATGAACTACCATTACCTGAACTGCTGCTGAGATCAAGAAAAATGCTGCTGTAAATGTCAGATATGGTCTACTCTTCATTGTGAGCCCATGTCCCTTAAAGAAAGAGACTTTTCTCTCCAACTTTAAGCTGTAAGGATCTATAAGGAGTGGAATATATATTTATATATGATACCACATTTTAAACATAGGAAATAAAGGTAAAATGTTTATTCGGATTAAATATACTTACCATGTATTTCTCTCACACCAATAAGAAGGGCAGTGATACCAATGAGATATGTTCCTCCTAATATTCCTGCTGCAGTCATGTAGACTTCTCTCTTTATAAAAAAAAAAAAAAGGTGATGGTAAGGCATATGAAGTCTATTTCGATTAAATAAAAGAAGTGGGAAAATGCTTGTCATTTTGTAGCTCTATGCCAACCAAGAATAAAAGGATTGTAATCAGACATGGGTGTGGAGAACAGGAATGACAATAGATGCACTGAATGGCTGCTTTATAAATAAGCCCATAAAAGTTACTGGCCTGCAAAGCTTTTTACTAGACTGTTGGGGACCGGGAGAGGAGGAAGAGAAAGATACATTTCTTTGGCGGGCCTTACTTTCTCTAACAATCTTTATGGTTTTTGTGCTGGGCACAGAGGAGGTATGAATGCTTTCTGGGCTGAACACCCATCCCTCTTCTGCCAGCCATTTACTCTTCTGTCTGCAACTCCTGGCTACCAAGCTAAACTGAGACAGGCTGCCATGTGGCCACACCTTATTTCTGTAAAGCAGACTGCTGGCTAATTATTCTGGAAGGGTGGTCTATACTTTCTCAAGCAGAAGAAATACAAGAACTTTCTAGGGTAACACACATTTCTGGAGCCCCTGACTGAGGAGAAAGGCTGATGAAGATCTGTCTGAAATGAAACATAGAAACAGAGCAAGTCAGAAGGGGTCTCCCGGGCCATCTAGTCTGACC